GCCTGGGAAACCTGGGCGGCGCCCGAGGACTGAAGTCGCAGGTCCCCGCGGCGCCGCCCGAGGGACTTGGGGAGCCGGCTCCTGCCCGGGAGCGCGGAGGGCAACCGGACGCGGGTTCACGCCGGAGGGCGGGCGGCGTTTCCCCGCCCCCACCGCGCCGAGCCCTGATTGGCGTGCAGCCGGGCCAATCATAGCCTCGGGGCCTGAGCTGGGCGGGGCCCGGGCGCCAGGGATGCGCCCTGGGGGACCGATTCCCCGAACCCGGCTTTCGGCGCTGCAACCCCGCGGGGGACCGTGCACGGCGAGTCCTGCCTCTCCCACGGTCCTCGCCGAAGTGCCCGCACCCGGGCCTGGAGACCGGGACAGAAGTGGACACTGCGGCTCTAACCCCCAGGCTCAGGGGGAGACGCCTGCTGCGCAGTGCCGGAGCGCCTGCCTGGAGGAGGAGGCATCCGACGCTCTGCAAGTCCCCGAGGGACGCGCAGGAGGCGCCGCTGCAGGGCGACATCTGGGACGGTCATCGTGCCCCCCGGGGCCCCCGGCGCGGGCAGTGAGGCAGCGCTGCGGGCCTGCAGACTCCCCCGCTCCCCGCGGGGCCCGGCGAGGTGGGGCAGGGTGCGACACGGTCTCAGCCCCACGAGGGAGGGACGGTGCCTGCACTGGGAGGTGTACGCGGTGCCCTCGCTCTGGCGGAACCTTTCAAGGAGTCCGGGTCCTTGCGGGAGGGCCCCAGGTTACTTCGGGCGGTGCGTTTATCCCTTCAGCTCTCGCCGCGTGTGTCCGCGTGTGTCCGCGTGTGTAACTGGTTCCCTTTAACCTGAGGCGGCCTCGGTTTGTGCAGCAGCGCGTTTCTGTCTCAGACGCCACCCCCTGGGCGGCCTCGCAGCGCATCCCGCAGCCTGAGACGGGGTTGGCGTGGAGCGTGGCACGGGGGAGGGGATCTCCTCGGACCAGGGAAGTCGGGAGCCATCCAGGGCGCCTGAAGGGGGACCGGGGTGCCAGCCTAGAGAGAATCGTAGGCCGCCTCCTGCCCTCCCCGCAGCCACCGTCCTGCCTGCTTGCAGTCATCACGGACAAGCCGGGCCCGCCCTTCCTCGCTGCTCCGGCTGGTACAGGTGAAACCCCGGTTAGGACGGGAGTGAGGAAACCAGCCTTCCAGCTCGACTTGTGGGTTTCCCACTCCAGGTAGGTGAGGTGCACAGCAGCCCACCTCTGCGCTAGGGGCAGGATGGTGACTCACAGGCGAGCCACAGAGGACGGAGGGGGTGACCGTCAGGCAGGCCAGTCTCAGCCAAGGGTGGCCAAGAGCCACAGCCCAGGGGCCCGCACAGTCCAGTGAGCTCTTGCTTGGGTCAGAGGGCTTGAGGCAAGAGCCTGGCGGTCAGTCTGAGAAGCAGTGAAGATGGAGAACTGCAGAATCAGCGGTTCAGGCCAAGGTCAGGCTTCTGCCGGGGACGGCCTGCCCTGTGGGCTGAGCTCCCTGTGCCTGGTGTGCATTGGGATGTCCCCTGCTTACTCATGGGGGCCAGGAACCTGAGCCAGGAGCCTGGAGAGTGGCCAGGTCACCCAGGTACTTGAGAAATGGTTCCCTTATCTCCAAGAACTCGGAGAGATCCACTCCAAGAACTCCCTTCCTGCATTTCCCAAATTTTTCACCAGTGATTCCATGGGAGGAAACCAGGTCGCAGCCTTGATTAAGAACAAACAAGCAGAAAAGCTCCAGGTGGGTGTGCATGTGTGTGGAGATGGTGCTACGCAACAGCGTGACTGGTTAGCAAGGGGATATCTACCCCAGGCCTATTTGAGGAGCAAATCTGGAGTCGGAGGAACTTGGGGTCGTCCCCAGATGCTGGGTTCATTGGCACAAAGCCACTGCTCCAGGACAGGCTCCTAGGAGTGCAGGCGTCTAATGCCAGGCCCTTATGCCTCTTTCCCCGTCTCCAGATTCTGCCTGGGTCTAGCTTCAAAATGTTTCTACCACTTTCAGTATAAGACAAATGATTTACTCAAGGACCTCACAACCCGCCCCCCCTTCTACCCTGGCCTCGAAGGGTCAGTTTCTCTTCACAGGCAGCAGAAGAGGGTAATAACCTCATCTTCAAGTAAATAAGGGGAGAGGTTCAAACATGAGGGACAGGAAACATTGGTGCTTTGCTATGGGAAGAACTGCTGAAAATTAAAGAACTGAGCTGAAGGGAGCTTTTGGGTTTGGTGACTTGGGGTGTGGGGTAGTCCCTCCAGAATGCGTCTGTCCCTTAGTGTGTCCTTCCTGGTGTCTCTGCTGACACCGGTGTCTCTTCTCCAGGTGTGTGTGCAGGGAAGACTGTTTCAGGGGCCTCCCTTCCTGTCTCTCGTAAGAGAATTGTGAAAGCTTCACCGGAAATCCTCAGCATGGATTCCAGTAGTTGCAAGGACTGATTCCCAGCACATTGTACACATTAACAGCTAACATGTGTGAAGAAAACTTGTAATCACTGGAATCTAAATACCATATTTTTTGACACCCATAATTAAATTTTGTTGTTGTTCTGTTAATCCTCACCTGAGGATATTTTTTCCATTGATTTTAAATGGAGTGGAAGGGAGGGAGGAGGTGGGAGGAGAGGGAGAAATACCTATGTGAGAGAGACGCACCAGTGGGTGCTTCTTGAACCCTCCCCGAACGGGGCCGGGGATCCAGCCTGCAACCAGGTACGTGCCCTTGACCAGGCCTTGAACTCTCTACCCTTCCGCGTGGGCCGATGCTCTAACCACTGAGCCAGCCAGGACCCATAATTAAATTTTAAAATCCACAAACAACTTCTTCCTTAGGCTGGAATTTTAAGTTCTCAACCCTGGGTACATCCTAATACAGTATTTTTGTTCCCGGAAATCTTGATTCATCTGTTATGTTTCCTTGCAACAAACTGTGTTCTTAAAATGAATTTATTTCCTATTCTAAGTTTTTACAAAGTTATATCGGTTAAGATAATATTACAACTATTAGAGATATACAGCTGAACGAGACAATATAAATAATAGAGATTTTGCTAAATAAAAGTATAAATTTTTCAAAAGTAAAATTTAACTGAAAATGCATCTTGTACCAAGATACATAGGGGCTTTATTTTCCCAACTTCACGTTGATGAAAGTTACTTATCATTATAATGAGACTGGTTCTATATGATTTCTATTCCTTTAAAATTTTTTACGTGAAAGAACTAAAGAATATTGTTGATATAAATAGGGATGGGAACGGAATAAGTATGGAAATGGAAAGAATTTTGTTGTAGCAACTTTACCCAATTTTTAAAACTTCTTCTTAGTTCTATGCCAAAAATCACATAGTGAGCTATTATTAAATACTGCTTTTAGTAATCTCATAACTAAAGTGTCAAATTCTTCTTCAACTTTGTTGAAGCAAAGAATCAGAAACTACCTGATTTGCAAAAGTATTTTTACATATACATTAGGTACTTTCGCTTTCTCAGTTTTTAGAAGTATACTAAAAAGGCCTTACAAATTCTTATTAAATAGCAAATAATTGTACCCATTAGTCTTTCACGTAGAGGCATTTTGTGAAACTCAGATTAGATGGAACTGGCATGAGAAAGAAACAAACCCATCTCTGGCTGGCGTGACTCAGTGGTTAGAGTGTCAGCCTGAGCACCGGAGGGTCTCAGGTTCAGTTCCCGGTCAAGGGCACGTACCTGGGTTGCAGGTCCAATCCCTGGCCTGGGTCCAGGCAAATGTGGGAGGCAACCAATCTATGTGACTGTGACATCAGTCTTTCTCTTTCTCCCCCCTTCCACTCTCTCTAGAATCAATGGAAAAAATATCCTCACTCCTCCCATGAGGATAAAAACTAAAAATTTTTAAAAAGAAAGAACCAAACCCACAAAATTGGAAATTAAAAATCAATAGGTTCTGAATAAAGACATTTTCCCATTTTTTTTTATGTCATCTGGAAGTGCCTTTGAAAAGTATGACCAAAAAAATGGATACTTTAATGTGTATGTATAATTCCATTTCACTGTAGAAAATGATTAATTTTATAATCGTTCATTTGACAGATGTAGAACAGTGCATCAGCATCGAAGAGGGAGTAATTAATCCAAAATAAATGAACCTGGGTCTCCAGACTGCTTTGCGAACATTTTGTTTTGTACTCATGTGTAAGTGGATTTCTGCTTTTAAGAGCACGATTTAATCTACTTAGTGGAAATCAACAGCAAAATGGAGTTATTAGGTCACCAATAAGTGTAAATTTACAGAAATTCTATTACTGATTGCTGTGTGTATTGTTTACAGCAGAATCCACAAATTACTCCCTTCAGATTCATCTGAATCTAGTGGGTATACATTAAAAATAAATAAATGAGCAGAGAAGTAATAGTATATCCTAGACCTGTACCCAAGTAGAAAGATGTATTTCTATTATTCAGTAATATTTTTTAAAATTAATGAAAATATTTTTCCTATGAGCCTGAATAAGTTCAAGAAAACCTATATTAAAGTGCCCCCACTATGTGTTTACTTCTACTCCAACTTGTGGCGTTGATCTGTCAGAAATAAACGTGGAGACTTTTGCCTTCACTGCCTTGAGGTCACAGAAGAAGCGAGTAAAGTGCAGGTGCGTCGCAGTGAGTGGGTCTTCGTTGGTACCTAGAGTGTTTTGCAGCCAGTTATTTCTTTACGTGGTTTTTATGTTTAGAATATTCTAACCTTGAAACAGGGTTTGGGACTTGGCCATGAGTTTGTCACTTCGATGAAATAAAAAACCACCACTGTCAGTATTTCTTGCGACTGCTAGGGGGCCGCTCATTCCCTGCAAGTGTCAGGAAAGGGTTCATTGAGGTCCTCAGAAGAGAAGTGTTCTGCATTCCCGCTTCTCTCCCGAGGAATTATCTGAATTCAGAATACTGTCGCTTAGGCCAAAGCTCCCCCATTTCTTAAGCCACTTGTCACCCTTAACACAAGGTTACTCAGCCTGGGGTATTACTGATATTTGGGGCTGAATGATCCACCGGGGAGGGGGGCCTACCCTCTCAATGTTTAACAACATCTCCCACTCCTGTCCACTAGATCCCAGCAGCACCAACCCCTCAGTGAGACAACCAAGCGTATCCCCAGACACATTTGCCAGATGTCTCCTGGGGGGCATAGTGGTTGGGGATCACTGGCCTTAACAGAAATGTCCATGCAAGACAAGGGCCCAAAGCTGTGGCTAAAGGAGGCTTTGTGGACACGGGTTTTGACTCGCCCTCTTTGGTGCTCAAACCTCTTATTCCCAGGTCAACGCACCATGACTATATTTGGGACAGATGAGCAGCACGCCTTGCTCTTGTGAGGCTTGTGAGGCTGGAGGGCACTGTGAAAGCGGGGTTGGGAGAGTGCTCTTGAGGGGTCATTAGCACATCACTTCAGAAAAATCAGCTTAAAATGACAAGCTTTGGTGAAGCCTATCACCTTTTTAATGTGTGCAGGTGGATGTTGGAGGTCTAGATGCCCTTAAATCTTTCAGCACCTGTGTACCCCTTGGAAAGTTCTGGTACCCCCAGAAATACAAGAGCCTCTGAAGACTGCTACTCTAGGGGATAAGTTCCATGTGCAGGGCAGGAAAACTTCCACTGTTTTGTTTTTCTGGGTTTTTTGTGTGTGTTTTTTTCCTCTACGATGAGACAAAGTGTCAGTCTCCTAAAGTTAGACCAATTCCATATCCTGAACATTTAGGGAGGTTTTCACCTCCACCTGCCCAGCTTTTCAACACATACCCGAGTGATTCCTCCTTTGGTATTAAGTGGAACGTGAAAGCAACCTCAGCATGTACAAACTTAAGTCTTGTGTGCTGTTATGACAGCCCAATGGAATATTATTTGTGTATCTTTGAATTCCCATAGAAAAACATTAGCTGTGTTGTTAACCAGGTTTAAATTTTTACGGTATACTGAGCAGAAGGTGACACAAAAACTGTAAGAAACGTCGGCTCCTCCCTGACTGCTTTATAAGGGTCCACCCAGTCATGATCATTACCAAAGCTAACAGAGAGCTGAGACGCGAAGCACACTCGGGTGCAGAACAAGCTGGGCAGAAGATGCCGGTCCAAGGCCCAAAGTCCATTAGGGACTTTAGAAATTTACATTAGGTTCATATTAAAGAAAAATATAACCACCACTGATATTAAGAATTTATCAGAGAAATGTGATACCATAACTTTTACCAGATGCTGTAAGTGGAGTGACTTGAGGATTCCACATCACATGCCATATTGAATATTCAGTTGTCTTAATTTATTTGACTACCCGTGACTATATTCACATACTCTTAGACACTCATTTAAGGAATAAAAACCAGTCTGCTCTGTAAGGTAAGTGAATGAAATTCAGGACATTCCATTTAATCTGGCATTTCAGTTTTAAAAGATGGGGCTGCCAAAACTTGTAAGTAACAAGATAGCTTTCGACAGGTAAATGGATAAACAAAATGGTACATTCATACAGTGGAATATTCAGCAGTTTTTTAAAATGAGCTATCAAGCCATGAAAAGACATGGAGGAACCTTAAATGCATATTGCTAAGTGAAAGAATCCATCTGAAAAGGCTACCTACTGTATGATTCCAACTATAGAACATTCTGGAAAAGGCAAAACTATGGCGACAGTAAAATGATCGGTGATGCCAGGGGTTCGGAGGGAAAGAGGGAGGGACAGATGAACAGAGGGAGCTCGGCATTTGCAGGGCAGTGAAACTCTGTGTGCTTCTGTCATGAGGGAGACATGTCGCCATACATTTGTTAAAACACATAGAATGTCCAGCACATGAACTCAAAATACACAAAACAATTTAATTTATGAACGTGTTTACTCAGGTCAGGAATGTTAAATAAACTTAGATTAAAATTAACTTCTCTTTCTTATTTTACTGAATAATCCTCTAAGTACTGGCTTAAATTCTTCGTGCAGAAGGATTTTTTAAGTCTTTCTATGACCACTAATTAATGGTGTACAATCAAGTTACATATCTTTAATTTTTATTTTATAACATAGCACAAATACTGAGACCATTAAACCAAAATTATACTTTCCCCTTTATCACACGAAAATGTTTTGGAGACTATATATTTATATTAGAAAACAAGGCCACTGTTTAAGCATTCATTAATAATATTTTTAGGTGAGTTGTACTTTTTTATCTTTACACATGTCAGAGTAAAATTTTACTTTTGAACCAAGATTTTATAATAAATATTTTTTAATTTCAAAAGCAACTTTTCCAAGTAGAAGATCAGTGAAGGCTCCGGTCCTCTGAAGGTAGCTTCTTTAACTCCCTGACCCCCATTGTGTCGTTACAGGTCGGAATTTTCCCTGCATCCCCTTAAATACAGGGCGCAGTGGGGCCCAGCTTCACAGGCGCTGTGCTTGGATTTTACCCCAGCCTAGGATTTTATTAAACGTTATGACCATTTAAAGCACTGAGAATCGTGGTTTAATTTCTTTTCCCCCTCAAGTGTATTTGAGACTCCTGCCTTGGACTCATATAAATAATCTCTTGAAATCAATAG